TCAATCAATCAATCAATCAATCAATCAATCAATCAATCAATCTTGAGTAGCATGGTAATAAATTGGATAAGCCTGGCTGTATATATACTTTATTTTTTACTTGAAAGGATGTGGATGTAGCTATTATTAAATTGGCAAAAGTGATAACCATGTCCCAATAAAACATCTGGGTAAAAAGCCAGGGTTACGACACAATAACAACTAGTTATAACTTGATAAATTCAAAACCAACAACAATGTTTAATTTACTGTTATACACACTTACAGTCTTGTGATTTCTACGGTCAATAATTATAAAGGTTTTTGATCCTGGGATTTGTACAGTCCATCATTTTGGTTTAGGACTTCCAGGAACCCTCTTTTGATGGACTGCTTTCAAGCTACCATTATTTATGGTTGAAGATCCTGGGAAATGGCTAATGGGAGAACTAGTGGAAGGGCAAAATTTCTCTGACTAAATTGAAAGAGTGGCCTTCAGCAGGGGTGGAGACTGGTATAGCTGAATTATACTATATGTGAATAGAGTGTTTCTGTCATTGAAATAATATTCAGAAGTATAATAGATCACATCAACAAATTTTGAAAAACAAGAGACTACAACGATATTCTATTTCCCACTGATGTTCTTTCTCCTGGAAGTAGCAGATCTTATAATGAAATTATCCATTAAATTTGTCTAGGATTATTTCCTTTAAAAATCCATATGTTGCCCACTGATTTTGTTGCAGCATCTTTCACCTCCTTATTCTTCAGGCTGTAGATCAGAGGGTTGAGCATGGGGATCACAACTGTGTAGAACAATGAGGCCCACTTGTCTTGGTCCATGGAATAGCTGGAGGTGGGCCGGAAGTACATGAAGAGTATTGTCCCGTGGAATATCCCAACAGCTGTCAGGTGAGAAGCACAGGTGGACAATGCCTTGTGCCTGCCCTCAGCAGAGCGCATTCTTAGGACTGTAACCAAAATATAAATGTAGGACACAAGAATCATACTAACGCTGGTTGCTTCAACGAAACTAACAGAGATAAATAGCATAATCTCATTAATATATGTGTCAGAACAGGAGAGTATGAGAAGTGGAGGTTCATCACAGAAGAAGTGATTGATAATATTAGAGCTGCAGAAAGACAGTTGGAATGTAGAAGAAGTGTGTATCATTGAATCCAGCAGGCCTGTAAAGTACACAGCAGTGAGCAGTTGCTGGCAGGCCTTTTTAGACATCATGGCTGAATAGAGAAGTGGATTGCAGATGGCCACATATCTATCATAGGCCATCACAGCCAACAAAAAGCACTCTGCGTCTGCAAGCATTTCAAATAGAAAGAGCTGTGTAGCACAGGCACTGTAAGAAATTCTTTTAGTTGCACTTAGTAAGTCAGACAGCATTTTAGGAGCAATGGTTGAGGAACAGCAGAGATCCACAACGGAGAGGTTGCCCAGGAAGTAATACATGGGTTTGTGGAGTTGGGGTTGAGCACAAATCAGCAGAATCATCCCGAGATTCCCGAACACAGTGATGGCATAAACTGAGAGGAAGACCATAAAAAGAACAAGCTGCATTTTGGGATTGTCTGTGAATCCCTGAAGAATGAATTCGGTAATGACGGATTCATTTCGTTTGTCCATGATCTTTTTCACTGGATGCTGGTTTCAGGATATTAGCTGATTCTGAAATATCTTTCTGATCCCTTGTGAGGGAAAAGAAAATTATCTTATTTAGAGTTTCATCCGTGTTCCTATCTTCATAAAAGAATAATCTGGATTTTTTTATGTGGATTGGGACCAAATGGTTTACACTCTGGATTTAAGATTAATTGGCGTAAATCTAATTTATCTCCTTTAGGGTTGGATGTCTCACTGGAAAGGTGTTCACAGATGGGATTTGTGGTTTTTACTAATTTTATTAAATATTTATGGCTTTATATTCCTAAAAATATTTCATAATTGTTCAGGTTAATATGTCTGTGTTGGAACAAATTATATCAGATCATGATAGATGGTATAAGATACCTTTGACTTGGTGGGATGAAATAATGTAATTAAAATGAATATAATTCCTAAGCTTTTATATATTTTAAGAGCAATGCCTACATTTATTTAAAATTTAAAATAGATAGGCTTTTGAAAAAAATTATTTGGGAAGGTAAAATACCTAGAATATTCCTTTCTAAATTACGTTTGCCTGTGAGAGACGGTGGTTGTAATTTTCTGGATTTTCAGAAATATCATTGGGCTTACATTTTAGTATCAATATTTTATTGCAATTATTATTATTTTCTTTTGACAAATTACCATTATAGGCTAAACTGGAAAGTTATTGTACTTACCCATTTAAATCTTGGCAATTGTTAAGGTACAAAGTTTATTAGGTCTAATTAATGTTTCCAACTTTGCTAGTGGTAAGATGTGTTTGGGCCCTGTTAGGTGATAGGTTTAAATTTGACACAGAATTTCATGAATACTTAACTGTCTGGCATAACTCTACTCTTAAAATTGGTGATAAAACTTTTTTTCTGGAAAGGATAGACACAAAAGGGTAGAATTATACTAGATCAATTATTGTTTAATGGTTACTTTAAAAAACTGCAAATCTATCTATCCATCCATCCCCTAGCCTATTTTGTCTTGTCCATGTAGGCCAAAGTGTTCCCAGTGGTGGTAGGAGCACTTGGGGCTGTGACTCCTAAGCTGGGAGA